ACCAGGTATTCAGGAGACAGGAAGAGAGGGTAAGTATAGAGAGATGAGAAACTGGAAATGAACAAAGACAAAAAGAGAGTAAGAGAGACAGGAAGACAAAACAAAAAAACAAAACAAAAACCAAAAGAAAAAATAAAAAGACATGAAAAGAAAAATGCCCCCAGGCATGTCAGTGTGCATCTGTGCAGAGTAAGGGAGTAGCTCCCAAGCTGCACAGTACTGTCCGGTTAGAAGGGACTCCCCAGCCGTGAGAAGAAAATTTAAAGAAATAAACAAATCAAAATGGAACAAATCAGAACAGACAAAGAAAAAAAGCCCTGGTGTCCCACCAGCTTGGTGGTATGGTCCGGGAAGCCGTTTCATAGTTGAGCGGTGTTTTGCACTCTTTCAGGAAGAAGCAAAAGTGGCTCATGGAGCTAGGTATTTGAGAGAAAGGAGAGGGAACTGGTTAGAGATAAGAAATGTAAAGAAGCGGAAAACAGTAACAGCAGCAGCCAACAATTGGCACTCAGGGAACCGGACAGTGCTGGCGGGTGGGGTCAGTGTGGCACCAGGGTGAAGCTGGTGCTTCCGAGCCAAGAGACTGCGGCTGCAGGAAGAAAAAGAGGCTGAGTGGGAGTGAAGAATGGTGGGGGATGGGAAAGCGTGTATTGCTGGTTACCAGTTGTTCTGTCCCCTGCTGGAAACTCCTGGAAGCTGCTTTCTCATACCCTGTGCTCGCCGATCTCCAGTAGGAGTCCAAAATAGCGGATCCACGCTGTGGTAGCTGATGGGGGACCTCTGCATGTATCTCTCATCGCTCTCTGTTCTTGGTCAGTTTCTTATTGCATTCAGTGCTTGGCTGAGTTGTTTATCTCTTCACTTCATGCTTAGGGTTTCACGATTGATGTGTGTCTGTGTTTGACTTAGTTTTTCGGATCTTTATTGTGGAGGGATGGTGTGTTGCTTCCGTCGTGCCATTTTGCCTGGAAGTTGAGTATTTTATTCTTTTTGATGCTTTTGTATTCAGTAGTCTTTTTTTACTCATTTTTTTTTCTACATTTCTATGCCTAGTACTTCTATCCAAGTTCTCTACCCCTTCTATTTCTTTGTCCTTTTTTATTCCAGTGTTCCATTGATACCATGATGCATTCAGAAAATCTTTGACTTCTGTCAGCAGTTGTATGACGGTATTATTTTTTTTTAGCCAGGTATGGGGTGTCAGGTACTGGGGATATAGTGTTGATTAAACATTGTGTGTTTTCCAAGAAGAGGCACATACACAGTGCTTAAGATGTAAAACAGAAAATATTAGAATCATATGAGGGGCACATAGGGAGAAGAGGGGCGATGGAGGCATTTTTTTGAGAAGATACCAATTAAACTTGACCTTTAAATATTGGTAAGGATTTAAACAACTTAGAAACATTTTCTATTTAGTGGAAAATAGATACGTGAAATGCATCCAATGTTCACTTATTGGTATGATTGTGTTAAAAAAGTTTAGGTTATTATGTGATAACTGGCGTTATGTGAAAAAGCCATAGTGGCACAGTGGTTAAAGCAGTTGACTGCTAACTGATAAGTTGGCTGTTCGAAAGTACGAGCAGCTCTGCTGGAGAAAGATGTGGCATTCTGCTTCCGTAGAGATTTACAGCCTCAAACTGTATGCAGGGGTCGCTATGAGTTGAAATTGACGCTTTGGTAGTGGGTGACTAAGAATAGTAAAGTCTTTTGAACCTTCTTTTTGCTGTTATTCTTTTGGTGGTTTATATGTTTTAAATAAATTTTTAAGTCTATCAAAGTAATGCTTGCACAGAGTAAAAATTCATGAACAGCGGTCATCTTCTTAATTTTTCTGTTTCTTGTAACCCAGTTAAGAGGCTCTCAGTCCAAACTCATTTAGCTCTCTCTACTGGCATCTACTTCCATATTTCTGGGTATGTCTAAATGTGTCATTTCTCGACAATCAGTTTTACACATTAACTATTAGTCTTGCATTATGAGATATAAAAATTTATCACTCTCCGTTCTCATATCCTTCCCCCATAACACCTCCCTCTCACCTACGTACACTTGTCTGTTTTGGCCATATTACAAGCTTTGGATAAACCAGTGGTCTGTTTGTACATTATTCCCATTGTCATCGAGTCAATTCTGACTCAGAGCAACTCTATAGAACAGAGTAGAACTGTCCCACAGGGTTTCCAATGCTGTAAATCTTTACAGAAGCAGACTGCCACAAATTTCTCCTGCCGAGTGGCTAGTGGGTTCAAACTGCCGACCTTTCAATGGTAGCCGGGTGGTTTAACCATTGCGCCACCAGAGCTCCTCCTATGTTATTCCAAAAACTCGCTGTCGTCGAGTTGATTGCGACTCATAGGGACCCGATAGGTCAGAGTAGAACTGCCCCATAGGGTTTCTAAGGCTGTCAGTGTTTACTGAAGCAGACTGCCACATCTTTCTCCCACAGGTCGGCTGGCTGGTGGGTTCAAACCGCCCATCTTTTGGTTAGCAGCTGAGTGCATTAACCACTGCACCAGCAGGACTCCCTTCTATGTTACTAGTAGCATATAAAACTTGTTTCTCCAAAGCCATCTGTTGTATTGACCCTGTTTTTTATTTTGTTTGACTTTTTACCTTTCTTTCTTAAAGGTTTGAAGAGCTCTTGTTCTTGGCTGGATTTCTTTTCATGTTCTTTAATGTGTAAATACGTTTTCTGTCTTGGGATATTAATTTAGGATTAAAGTTTTTTTTCTTTTAGTTTTATTGTGTTTTAGGTGAAAGTTTACAGTGCAAATTGGTATCTCATTCAAAAATTTATACACAGATTGTTTTATGGCATTGGTTACAAACCCTGCGATATGTCAGTACTCTCCCCCTTTCCATTTACACTCTGAGTTCTCCATGTCCATTCGTCCAGTTTTCCCATCCCTTCCTGCCTTCTCGTCTTTGCTTTTGGGCAGATGTTGCCCATTTGGTCTCGTGTACTTGATTGAACCAAGAAGCACATTCCTTACGTGTATTATTGTTTGTTTTATAGGCCTGTATAATCTTTGGCTGAAAGTTGAACTTTGGGAGTGGCTTCAGTTCTGAGTTAGCAGAGTGTCTGGGGGCCATAGTCTCAGGGGTTCCTCCAGTCTCTGTCAGACCAGTAAGTCTGGTCTTTTTTTGTGACTTAGAATTTTGTTCTATATTTTTCTCCTGCTCTGTCTGGGACACGCTATTGTGATCCCTGTCAGAGCAGTTGGTGGCAAAGTTTACAGTATTTTTGATGTTTTTTTCTGTTCTTGCATTATCTCTTTTTCCTTCAGGATCTTTTTGATTGTTTGTCTTTCATGTCCCCCTTCCATATTTTTCTTTGCCAGCCCTTCCATATTTTAGTGAGGCTGTAAACAACTGATTTGAATCAGTTCGTGAGTTTGTCTTCAAGGGGTTCACCATTAAGTGCCGTGATGGGAAACAGTTCTTTACTGGGGGTGAGGTGGGGTGTTACATGTAAGGATCTTTGACTCTTCAGTTTCTCCAAAGAATTATATTCTAGTTATCTGCCAAGACTGGGCCGGGTAGAGTTGGGAGAGGAGGGCTTATACAGGTAGTCCCTGGGTTATAAACCTGTGACTTAAGGACAACTTTTACTTGCTCTTTAATGTTATAGAAATTTGCTCTCACTTTGAAACAGTTACACCAACCAGTATTCCCAAGAATATTCTTCATCATAATCACTTTCACTTGCTGCATGTGCAGCTTTTAAATCATTGAAAAGCCTTCAAGCCTTTTTTGCACTAAACTAATGTTAAATAAGAACCGTATGCACCTGTTCCAACTTACATATTCGCAAAGACACTCAGGAACGAATCTCATTGGTAACCAGGGGACTGCCTGTATACCTTGTTGACAGTCTTATGGGAGGGAGCAGGGTAGGGGAAGAGGACTGAGCATTTCCATAGTTTGATATGCAGGTTTATACCTAATACTGTTTTCACCCTCCCCCTAACCCTTCCAGCATCCCTGTCCTGCCTAGTGTTGCTGAGTCCTGAGGCTTTCAGGTGGCACAGTGGTAAAGAGCTATGGCTGCTAACCAAAAGGTTGGCAGTTCAAATCTACTCGCTGATTCTTAGAAACCCCACTGGGGTAGTTCCACTCTGTCCGATAGGGTTGCTGTAAGTCAGAATCAACTCGATGGCAACAGGTTTATTATCTATTAGTTGTCTACTAAGTACTAATGTTACATACTATGCTTTCCAAAGAGTATTCTATTTAATCTTTATGATAATCTTATGAAATAGATTCCATTATTAACCCAATTTTATACTTAAGAAAACAGAGCTTTAGAACAGAATTAGTAAATTGAACCCCCAGGACTTGAACACATATGCAGATAACTCCAGAAACTGCACTTTTACCAGCTCTGCTATCATCAGAACAGTTAGCAAACTCATGCTTCCCCTTGTATGTCTGTATTCCAGGTTTGTAAGAATTTCATTACATTGATTTGAGCACATTGAAACAGTGTTGGCTATAGTAAGTATAGAACAAAAGTATAGGAATAATGCTAAGTAAAATGAGTACACCTATGGGAATATAAATGTACTTTAATTTTAATGCATATAATTAATCTGAATATCCTCCTTAGGTAACTTAGAAGCAGAACTTTCAGTGAATAGTATATGAAAATGCCTGCAACAGTTCCTGATATATGCTTGAGATTCAGCAGATGTAGGCATGGAGCTAAATACTGATATTAGATTCTATCTGGCATTATATTGAAAGCTTCTAGGTCCAAGAACCTAGTTTTCCATTATTCTTCTGATGTATTTCCTGTAGCACTAACTAGAGTACCCTAAATAAACTTAATGTTCTGTAGATGTTAACTGACAGGCTATGCAACAGCTGAAAAATTCAGAACTGTATTTTTAAGAATATTTTTATTTTTTGGTACTGAATGTCTACTATTCTTATATTTTTAGTTAATGCCTATTTCACGTGACCCGAATTTTTTTACTTTTTATTTTTAACAGATCACTTATATAACTAGGTCATCATTTTGTTCTAAAATCATTATGTCTCGATCACGACAACCTCCCCTTGTGACGGGCATCTCTCCAAATGAAGGAATCCCATGGACAAAGGTAACAATTAGAGGAGAGAACCTGGGAACTGGTCCACCTGACCTCATAGGTAAGCTCACCCACTATGCTTGTGCACACACATTATACATTTTTATGTTGGGCAATTGTGGCAAGATATGTTATTTTGAAATTATGAGGATGATAGATCACATCGTTGTGATCTTTACAGAAAAATCTGAATAAATATGAAAAAGAGTTGTTTCTCTGATTTTTTTGTTAAAATCTTTATTTTATGAAATCTTTTAGATTTTGTCATTTACTTTCTTCAGAAAGTTTCTCCCAGCTGAGAATTACCCCCATTTCCTTGTCTTTGATCATTCCAACTGGTTGGTGTCACTAGAGTTGTTGTCACCCAGTGCAGTACTCATGGTGTCTCACCCCACCCTTCCTGGGGTGAACGGGGCTGGCAGGTGAACCCCTCCCCAGTGGGAAAAGTGGCTTGATGCTATACCACCAAGCCCTACCCCTCTGGGCCTCACCCGCCATGGCACCCTGCAGTTCCTCCCCTCTCCCGTTGGCCAAGGCGGAGACCCTTCTGTCTGCCTGATGGTGGGCACTGGGGCCCAGCTGCTGACACCCTGACTGGTAGGTGATGGAGGGGTGACAAGTTAATGCATAGGGTGTTGGGTAACACCAACCCTAGTGACACCACTCCCTTGGCGACCCCTCCTCTGGCGCTGCCAGCCCGCCTGCTGCTGCAGACCCTAGGGTAATTTTGGTGTCACTCTCTCTGACGGTGTCAGGGAGTGCAGTCTGCACCCCTCGCACCCCCATAGTAATGCCAATGCCTCTAGCTGAGAGTGCCAAAATAGCCTCCTGGCTATTTTTGCTCTCTTTCATTTTCCCTATGGTGTACACTTGTCTATAATGTTTCTCAAGTGCTCTGTGAATCATGCCTCTTCTCTGTTTCTTACTGCTCTTTAAAACCTATCTCGTACTGGAGTCAGTACCCCTTGGCTCTTTTACCCTCACTATACCTAAAGGAGACTGTTCACTCTCACCAGCGTGCTTCCTTTCTGCGACCTGTGAATTCTGTTTGTTTCCCTTTCTCGGCCCATGTTGATTCTGCCCAGTGGCTGTTTGCACAATAGGTGTCTGAATATTCTGCCCTGTATTTGGATCCTGAATCGTCTGTACCTGTTCTGTCCTGCCAAGGCTTCAGATTTACAACTAACAAAATCTCTTCAAATTAATTCCCCCCCAAGTTAATCCATCTTTTTATTTAGAGATAGATAGATAGCTGCCATTGAGTTGATTCCAACTTATGGCAGCCTTACGTACCAGAATGAAACATTGCTTGGTCCTACGTCATCCTCATGGTCACCAGCATTTTTAAGTTCACGTTGTGGATATTGTGTCAATCCATCTTACTGAGGGTCTCCCTCACTGACCCTCTGTTTCACCAAACATGATGTCCTCCTCCAGTGGTTGATCCTTCTTGATGTTCAAAGCAAGCAAGTCAGACTGTTCTATTGTGATCTATAAGATTTTCGTTGGATAATTTTTGAAAGTAGATTGCCAGGCCTTTCTTCTTAGTCTGTTATAGCTCAACTGAAATATGTCCACCATGGGTGACCCTGCTGGTATTTAGAATATTGGTGGCATAGCTTCCAGCATCACAGCAACATGCAGACCACCATAGTATGACAAGCTGACAGACTGGTGACAGATCTTTTTCCTTAAACCAAAACCAAACCCGTTGCCATCCAGTTGATTCTGACTTCCTCGAGCCTATAGGACAGAGTAGAACTATACCATAGGGTTTCCAAGGCCATAATCTTTATAGGAGCAGACTGCCATGTCTTTATCCTGCAGAACGGCTGGTGAGTTTGAACTGCCCACCTTTCGGTTGGCAGCTGAGTGCTTAACCACTGCACCACCAGGGCTCCTCTCTTTATTTAGGGTCCCTCTAATATTTATATATTTAGAGCAAGCTAAATTTTATTTTTCTGTTTTTTTCTTTCCCCCAGTAGATTTTAAATTCAAGGAAAATGAATGATAGAATGTTATTTACAACCACCCCCCCCCGTACTGTAGGGACCCTTTACTGTGGGCTTCTCTGAGCATTTGTGTTTGTCAGTGTTTATCAGCCCTGGCTTGTCTAAATTTCCTCTGGAACTTAAAATGTTCTGACCTGCTAATCCCTATCTCTAATGGTAAAACCTGATCATTGTGGGTTTTTGGTATTGTTATTTATTTTTTTAATATAAATGGTTGTCAGGTACAGCCTAGGGAGACAGCAAATTTTAAATATAATTTTATTGGTTAGTTGCTGACATTGCCCTGTAAACTTCATATTAAGGTATACAGATGCGTTCAGAATGAGGAAGGGGCAGATTTTAGTATGTGCTACTGAATAAATATATATTCTGAATTTCTACATAAATTTATTCACAATTTGTGCATCCTTTTGATTCATTTCTTTATTTCTGAGGGCCACATTGGTAAAAATTATGAATTGCGGTTTGTTTTTTCTTCATTATAACTGCTGGTTAATAGATTTGTTTTTTGCCACCCAGAAAACCTTGAAAAAGAAAAACTGAATTGAGTTCAGTAGTATGTTTAGTGACTGAGTTTTTTGGTTTTTAATTTTTTTGCGTGTACTTATTATAATATTTTATTGTGATTTTGGTGAAAATTTACACAACATACTAGGTGTTTGTTTAACAGTTTCTTCGTATTATTCAGTGACACTGGTTACATTTTTCACAGTGTCAATGTTTTCATTATTTCCGTTCTGGCTGTTCCATTTCCATTAATCTAGCTTCCCAGGTCCCCCCTCCCCTTACCTTCTCATCTTTGCCTTAGGGTAAATGTTGACTGTTTGGTCTCACATAGATAATTTTTTAAAGGAACACAGTACTCCTGGATGATACTGTTTACTTTACGAGCCAATCTGTTGTTTTGCTGAAAGGTGACCTCTGGGTGTGATTTCAGTACACAGTTTAAAGAGTGTCTCAAGGTGATAGTCTGCAGGGTTCCTCTAGTCTCCAGCTGTCTGTTAAGCCTGGCCTTTTTTAAGAATTTGAGTTTTCTACGTTTTTTCCCATTCTACCCCGGACCATCTATTGTGTCCCTGGTTAGAATGGTCATTAGTGGTAGCTGGGCACCAACTAGTTCTTCTGGTCTCAGGATACATGAGGCCGTGGTTTGTGTAGGCTATTAATTCTGTAGATTAGCTTCTTCTTTGAGTCTTTGGTCTCTTTCTTTCTTTTTTGCTTCAGATGAATGGAGACCAATAGTTACATCTTAGATTGCCACTTGAAAGCTTTTAAGACCCTAGAGGCTACTCACCAAACTAGAACGTAGAACATAAAGTTTATAAACTATACCAGTTGACCTAGTTGTCCTAGGAGACTATGGTCCTAAGCTTTCAAATCCAGTAAACCAATCCCATGAGGTATTGGGTTATGTCTCAGAAGTATCTGTAACTGTGCCTCCTAGGTTCTTTATGTATGAATATATATGCAACACACAAGTATATGTATATACATATGCCTACAAATATGCCTGTATGTGCACATATACTTTCCTGTACACATATATGCATGCAGATTTATCTCTGTAACCACACATGTATCTTTTGGTTGTTTTTGCAAATTTGTATATGTTATAGTATTTTCGAAAAATGTCCCTTATGCTTGTGTACTTCTCAGCGTCATCATTTACCTTGATGAGGTTGTCCACACTTTTTCCCATCACCAAAAATAACAAGTCTATATGTTTTAAAGCATACTTACTCCTCCTCCCTCTTCTCCCCAGTAACCACCAGTGAATATTGGTCTCTCTATATTTATCTGTTCTTGTTTTCTTATAAATGAGTGATCATATAATAGTTGCCCTTGTATGCTTAACTTATTTCACTTAGCGTTTTGCCCTCCATGTCCATCCATGTTATTATAGTTTTAGTGGAGTCATCATTGTTCTTTATGATTACGTAGTATTCCATTGTGTGTAGGTACCACAGTTTCCTTATTCATTCTTCCATTGATAGGAGCTTTGGTTGTTTCGATTGTTTTGCTGTTGTGAATAAAGCAGCAATGAAGATACCGAAAAACCAAGCCAAACCTGTTGCTGTTGAGTATATCACGACTCATAGTGACCTTATAGGAGTGTTTATATCTGACTGTGTTAGTAGTTTTAGGTCTCTAGGGTATATTCCTAGGAGGGGGATTGCTGGATCATAAAGTAGCTCTATTTCTGGTTTTTTGAGGAAGTGCCAAACTGTTTTCTGTAGTGGTCGTACCATTATACAATACCACCAGCAATGAATAAGGATTCCAGTGTCCCCATATCCTCACCAACATTTGTTGTTTTCTGTTCTTTCAGTCAGTGCCATTTTAGTAGAAATGAAATGATATCTCATTGTAGCTTTGATTTGCAACTCTCTAATGGCTAATGATTGTGAGCATCTTTGCATGTGTTTGTTGCCTGCTTGGATGTCTTCTTTTGTGAAGGTCCTTTTCATGTCCTTTGCCCATTGTATAATTGGGTTGTTTGTCTTTTTGTTGTTGAGTAGTAGAAGTTTTCTGTAAATTTTGGAGATTAAACCCTTATCTGATGTGTTTTTTCTAAATTTTTTTTTTCCCCATGTGTAGGTTCCCTTTTTACTCTTTTGATAATGTCTTCTGATGAGCAGAAGTTTATAATTTTTATGAGATCCCATTTTTCTATTTTGTCTTTTTCTCTTCGTGCATTTGTTTTAATGTGTGTTATCCTGTTTTTACAGAAGATTAGGTCCCATATTTTTCTTCCTATGTGTTCTTCCAGGAATTTTATGGTTTTAGGTGTGATGTTTGTCCTTTGATACATTTTGAGTTAGTTTTTGTGTTTGTTGTGAGGTATGTATGCTGTTCCTATTTTCTACAGGTGAATTTACAGTTTTGCCAGCACCATTTATTAAAGAGACTGTCTTTCCCACACTGGATGGACTTTGACCCCTTGTTGAAGATCACCTGTCCATAGATATTTGGGTTTAGTTCTGAGTTCTCAATTCTGTTCTGCTGGTCTGTGTATTATCGTTGAACCAGTACCAGGCTGTTTTGATTA